CCCATTTCCTTCCACAACGTCCCTTCTCCTCCTTACTTTGCACCCGCACCGTCCACCTCCGCCGCCGCCGTTGTACCTCTCCACCCGCCACAAAGGCATTGTCGCACGTTCGCAACCAGCACCGACGCGCCCGCTCGCCTTTACGATGGCGCTGTCCACCCTGGAGCCATTTGTACCAGGTACACTCCGCCCCCTGTCGACGACGTCCATGGCGGATACCACGCCCGACAGGTGTTCGATCAAACGCCATTGAGCTTATTTTCAAATGCTATGTTGTTTTTTGAGAGTACGAAGGATGGTGAGCTACTCAACCATGGAGGATGAGTAGTTGTGCGATGCGTGGTTGGCCGTATCCGTGGATTTCGTAGGCAGGAGCAGATGGGGGACCTTCTGGCAGCAAGTGCATGAATAATTTCACCAACGAAAGCACATTGTGCACTAAGACATGTACATCATTCAAGAACGCAACATGAGGTAGTTATCGTATCGCTGGTACGCTATGCAGACCAGCGTCACCAAGTTTGGTAACGTGGTTCGTCAACTGGGGCAAGGTGGCTATTGCACGTGGCAAGACAAGATCGTACGTTTTGCTTCTTCTTGCTCAACTTGTTTAAATTATTCATTCACTCAATGTTGGTCTACAACATTATGTAGCCTGCACGCGCTGCCTAATGTATCAGAGGACAGAGGGACGACCATTTATGTACACACACTATTGGATGAAGCTGAAGGGGGAGTATGTGTGGGATGACATGATCCGTTGATGAAAAAATTGTTGGGCATCCAGTTAATCTAGTCGAATTTTAGACATTGTTGTATTAGACTTGTTTGCATGTCATGTATGGATGATTTGTGCTATTTTCTATCCAAACTTTGATAAATATCGACCAATTTGTATTAATTTTGTTTGGTTATTAAAATGCGACTTGAAATGTATGCAGTCAACGTTTGATGATGGCCCCCCGCATCCGTATTCGCGGAATGGTCATCCCTGCCCGCAAATGGATGCGGGAGGAAATTTACGGGTCGCCGTTGGAGATGCCCTAACTAGTTAAATGCGTATGCATTGTGTTGGGGAACGTAGCATGCAATTTCAAAAAAATTCTTATGCTCACGCAAGATCTATCTAGGAGATGCATAACAACGAGAGGGGGAGAGTGTGCCCACGTACCCTCGTAGACCGAATGCGGAAGCGTTAGCTTAACGCGGTTGATGTAGTCGAACATCTTCTCGATCCAACCGATCAAGCACCGAACGTATGGCCCCTCCGTGTTCTATACACGTTCAGCTCGATGATGTCCCTCGAACTCTTGATCCAGCAAAGTGTCGAGGGAGAGTTTCATCAGCACGACGGCGTGGTGACGATGATGGTGAAGTAATCCGCACACGGTTTCGCCTAAGCACTACGTGAATATGACCGGAGGCGTAAACTGTGGAGGGGGGCGCCACACACGGCTTGGAACAATTGATCTGTGTTACAGGCGCCCCCACCGCCATATATAAATGAGAGAGAGGGGAGGAGGCCGTCCCTAGGCGCGCCCCAAGTAGGAGGAGTCCTACTTGGGCTCCTAGTAGGATTCGCCCCCTTCCTTTTATCGAAGGGGGAAAGGGGAAAGGAGAGAGAGAGGGAGAAGGAAAGGGGGGCGCCGCCCCCCCTGGTCCAATTCGGACTCCTCCCTTGGGGGGGGGCGCCACCCCTATGTGGGCTAGTGTGCCTCCCTCCTATTGCCCATATGGACCATATCTTCCCCCGGGGGGTTCCGGTAACCCCCGGTACTCTGATATGTACCCGATACATTCCGAAACACTTCCGGTGTCCGAATACTATCATCCAATATATCAATCTTTACCTCTCGACCATTTCGAGACTCCTTGTCATTTCCGTGATCTCATCCGGTACTCCGAACAATATTCGGTCACCAAATCACATAACTCATATAATACAAATCGTCATTGAACATTAAGCATGCGGACCCTACGGGTTTGAGAACTATGTAGACATGACCGAGACACCTCTCCGGTCAACAACCAATAGCGGAACCTGGATGCTCATATTGGTTCCTGCATATTCTACGAAGATCTTTATTAGTCAAACCGTAATGACAACATACGTCATTCCCTTTGTCATCGGTATGTTACTTGCCCGAGATCCGATCGTCGGTATCTTCTTACCTAGTTCAATCTCGTTACCGGCAAGTCTCTTTACTCGTTCCATAATGCATCATCCCGCGACTAACTCATTAGTCACATTGTTTACAAGGCTTATCATGATGGGCATTACCGAGAGGGCCCAGAGATACCTCTCCGATACTCGGAGTGACAAATCCTAATCTCGATCTATGCCAACCCAACAAACACCTTCGGAGATACCTGTAGAGCATCTTTATAATCACCCAGTTACGTTGTGACGTTTGATAGCACACAAGGTATTCCTTCGGTATTCGGGAGTTGCATAATCTCATAGTTAAGGGAATATGTATAAGTCATGAAGAAAGCAATAGCAATAGAACTTAACGATCATTATGCTAAGCTAACGGATGGGTCTTGTCCATCACATCATTCTCCTAATGATGTGATACCATTCATCAAATAACAACTCTTGTGTATGGTTAGGAAACATAACCATCTTTGATTAACGAGCTAGTCTAGTAGAGGCTTACTAGGGACATTGTGTTTTGTCTATGTATTCACACGTGTATCAAGTTTCCGGTTAATACAATTCTAGCATGAATAATAAAAATTTATCATGATAATAAGGAAATATAAATAACAACTTTATTATTGCCTCTAGGGCATATTTCCTTCAGTCTCCCAATTGCACTAGAGTCAATAATCTAGATTGCATTGTAATGATTCTAACACCCATGGAGTCTTGGTGTTGATCATGTTTTGCTCGTGGAAGAGGCTTAGTCAACGGGCCTACCACATTCAGATCTATATGTATTTTGCAAATCTCCATGTCTCCCTCCTTGACTTGATCACGGATGGAGTTGAAGCGTGAAAGTGCGTTAAGTCGACTAGAGGGGGGGGGGGTGAATAGGCGATTTTTATAAATTCTTCACTGAGGAATTTCAGGCTGAGGAAATTCCTAAGCGAAGAACTACTTGCAGCGGAATAAGTACTCAGATGTAGACATGACATAACATAAGCATGGACATCATGATGAATTGGAAACACAACACAGAGTACAGAAAGCATAAGCACAAGATAAAACAGAATGAAGACAAACAGACTGAAGAAATTGAACTGAGGAAATTGAGAATGTCTTCAGTCGAAGTCTTCAAATAGATATGAACAGGTACACAACATAGTAATGAAGAAATGAAAGGGTTGAGGAAATAGAGCCAGTTAGCTTGGTGAAGACAATGATTTGGTAGACCAGTTTCAACTGCCGCGACAGTTGTATGTCTGCTTAGAGCGGCTAGGTATTTAAACCTGAGGACACATAGTCCCGGACACACAGTCCTCAGCGTATTCTCCTTGAACTAAGGTCACACAGACCTCGTCCAATCACTCGTGGTAAGTCTTCAGGTGACTTCCAAACCTTCACAAACTCGGTCACTCGGCGATCCACAATTTCCTCTTGGATGCTCTAGACCATGACGCCTAACCGTCTGGAGGATGCACAGTCCTCAAAGGTAACAAGCGTCGGTTCCACACAGGAACAATCTCTTTAGTGATGCTCAATCACTTTGGGTTTGTAGGTGTTTGGGTTTGGGTTTTTGGTTTTTCCTCACTTGATGATTTTCGCTCAAAGTCCTCGGAGGATGGGATGCTCTCAATGACATGTCTGTTTCTCGCGGAGTAGCCAACCAACTAGTGGTTGTAGGGGGCAGCTATTTATAGCCTAGGGAACAGCTCGACATGATAAGACATAAATGTCCTTCAATGATATGACCGTTAGGTGGATAAGATATTTTGGGACAGCTGGCGCATAGCACAACAACGGTCGGAAATTTGAGGTTCAAATTCCTCAGGGCTATCATGTTCCTCACTTGTAGGAAATCCGCACTGGCGAATTCCTAACTCCTCAGTCGGAACAAATTTTGCAGAGATCAGAAGAACTTCGTCTCCATCACTGAAGAAATTGACTGAACTGTATGAGATTTCCAATGGCTTCACTCGAAGGTATTGGTAGGTGTAGGATTTTGAGTTGAGCATCACCTGGAAACCTTTTCCTTGGTGTTACCTCGACCCCCTTTAATAGTACGGTGTTTCCTATGACTCAAGAAAGAGAAAATGAAACTATGAAAACAAAAGTCTTCACGCTCCATGTTCCTAGCATGAATATCAAGTCTTCACAGTCAC